CCCCGGCTAATTTTATATTTTTAGTAAAGACATGGTTTCTCCATGTTGGTCAGGCTGGTCTTGAACTCCCGACCTCAGGTGATCCACCCGCCTCGACCTCCCAAAGTGCTGGGATTACAGGCGTGAGCCACCGCACGTGGCTTTTTCTTTTTTTTTTAAAGCTTCCTCATACGAGTGGGAATGTGCATGTTTATGCTCCTGGCTTATTTCTCTTAAATAGTGTCCTCCATTTCCATCCACGTTGCCTCAGGTGACAGGATTTCATTCTGCTCTTTGAATAGTATTCCTTTGTGTGTATAAACCACATTTTCTTTATCCATTTATCTGTTGTTGGACATCTAGGTTGATTCCATATTTTGGCTATTGTGAATAGTGCTGCAGTAAACGGGGGGTCGATGTATCTCCAATGTGATGATTTTCTTTCCTTTGGATAAAGTCCCAGTAGGGGGATTGCTGGATGATACGGTAGTTGTATTTGTAGTTTTTTTGTGTGTTCTTTTGTTTTTTGAGATGGAGTCTCACTCTTGTCCAGGCTGGAGTGCAGTGGTGTGATCTCGGCTCACTGCAACCTCTGCCTCCCGGGTTCAAACGATTCTCCTGCCTCAGCCTCCCGAGTAGCTGGGATTACAGGCATGTGCCACCACCCCGGCTAATTTTATATTTTTAGTAAAGACATGGTTTCTCCATGTTGGTCAGGCTGGTCTTGAACTCCCGACCTCAGGTGATCCACCCGCCTCGACCTCCCAAAGTGCTGGGATTATAGGCATGGCCACTGCATCTGGCCTCCTTCTTGATTCTTGACATTTTCCTTACACTGTCACTGAGTGGGTTCTACATCACAAAAAGATGAATAGGCCAGGTGTAGTGGCTGAATCCTATAATGCCAGCATTTAGGGAGGCCGAGATGGGAGGATTGCTTGAACTCAGGAGTTTGATACCAGCCTGGGCAACATGGCAAAACCGCATCTCTACAGAAAATACAAAAATTAGCCGGGTCTAGTGGTGCACGCCTATAGTCCCAATTACTGGTTTCTCCATGTTGGTCAGGCTGCTCTCGAACTCCCACCTCAGGTGATCCGCCTGCCTCAGTCTCCCAAAGTGCTGGGATTACAGGCATGAGCCACCACGCCCAGCCTTTTTTTTTTTTTTTTTTTTCTAGAGACGGGGTCTTGCTCTGTTGCCCACACTGGAGTGCAGTGACGTGATCTTGGCTCACTACAACCTCCACCTCCTGGGTTCAAGCAATTCTCCTGCCTCAGTCTCCTGAGTAGCTGGGATTATAGGCGCACACCACCTCGCCTGGCTAATTTTTGCATTTTTAGGAGAGACAGGGTTTCACCACGTTGGTCTCAAACTCCTGACCTCGTGATCCACCCAGCTCAGCCTTCCAAAGTGCTGGGATTACAAGTGTGAGCCACCGCGCCCAACCATGAGTTTCCTTTTCTCTGCATCCTTGCCAGCATCTGTTTTTGTCTTTTTGATGATAATTATCCTAAACGGGAAGAAGTGATACCTCATTGCGGTTTTGATTTGCATTTCCCAGATAGTGATGAGTGTGTTTTAATATATTTGTTGACCATTTGTATGTTGTCTTTTGAAAAATGCTTATTCAAGTCGTTTGACATTTTAAAATTGGATTGTTTGAGGGTTTCTTTGCTGTTGAAATATTTCAGTTGTTTGTGTATTGTATTCTGGCTTTATTTATTTATTTATTTATTTATTTATTTTGAGATGGAGTTGCTCTGTTGTCCATGCTGGAGTGCAGTGGCACGATTTCGGCTCACTGCAACTTCTGCCTCCCCGGTTCAAGCAATTCTCCTGCCTCAGCCTCCTGAGTAGCTCAGATTACAGGTGTGCACCACCACACCCAGCTAATTTTTGTATTTTTAGTAGAGACGGGTTTTTGCCATGTTGGTTAGGCTGGTCTCAAACTCCTGACCTCAAGTGATGTGACCACCTTGGGCTCCCAAAGTGCTGGGATTATAGGCATGGCCACTGCATCTGGCCTCCTTCTTGATTCTTGACATTTTCCTTACACTGTCACTGAGTGGGTTCTACATCACAAAAAGATGAATAGGCCAGGTGTAGTGGCTGAATCCTATAATGCCAGCATTTAGGGAGGCCGAGATGGGAGGATTGCTTGAACTCAGGAGTTTGATACCAGCCTGGGCAACATGGCAAAACCGCATCTCTACAGAAAATACAAAAATTAGCCGGGTCTAGTGGTGCACGCCTATAGTCCCAATTACTCCTGAAGGCTGAGATGGGAGGATCACTTGAGCCTGAGAGGTTGAGACTGCAGTGAGCCTTAATCGTGCTGCTGCACTTCAGCCTCGGCAACAGAGTGAGACGCTGTCTCAAAAAAGGAAAAAAAAAAAAAAAAGAATGTGGAGATAAGCAGATTTCAAATGTGAAGTGAAAAGCTTTTCATTGTTCAAACCATATTGCTAAGTGAGAAAAGCAAAGTACAGATATGTATAGAATCTATGACTTTTTTTCCTATAAGATGAAAAACCTATAATATAATTGACACACACTGAATAATGAGCAAAGGGAGACACAATTCTATGAGGATAATACTATACTGCAAATTTCACCTTCTGTTTTTACTTATTCATTAAATTATTTATTTAGAGACAGGGTCTTGCTCTGCTGCCCAGACTGGCCTCAAACTCCTGTGCTAAAGTGATTCTCCCTCTAAGCCTCCCAAGTAGGTGGGTGAACAGGCACACTTTTTCTCCACCTTGGTATTGTTCAATGTTTTTAATAAAGAAAAAGAATCTCATTTTAATGACAAAACCAACAAGGAGACCATTTTTAATCACATGCTGACCTTAATTCCATGTCTTCTTAGACATCACTGTTAAAACTTCTGGGCCAGGTGAGGTGGCTCACGTCTGTAGTCCCAGCACTTTGGGATGCCGCCTCTGGTGGATCACCTGAGGTGAGGAGTTTGTGACCAGCCTGGCCAAAATGGTGAAACCTCGTCTCTACTAAAAATACAAAAATTAGCCGGGTGTTGTGGCAGGCACCTGTAATCCCAGCTACTTGGGAGGCTGAGGCAGGAGAATGAATTGCTTGACCCAGAAGGAGAAGGAGGTTGCAGTGAGCCGAAACTGCGCCATTGTACTCCAGCCTGGGCAACGAGAGAAACTCCATAAAAAGAAAAAAAAAAAACCCTGTAAAGTCAGCTGGGAGTGGTAACTTACACCTGCAATGTCAGCACTTTGGGAGGCCGAGGCAGGGAGATCAGAGATCAGGAGTTTGAGACCAGCCTGGCCAACATGGTGAAACCTTGTCTCTACTAAAAATACAAAAATTAGCTGGGCGTGGTGGCAGGCATCTGTTATCCCAGCTACTCGGGAGGCTGAGGCAAGATAATCACTTGAACCTAGGAGGTGGAGGCTGTAGTGAGCCGAGATTGTGCCACTGCACTCCAGCCTGGGCAACAAGAACAAAACTCTGTCTCATAAATAAATGAATGAATAAATAAATAAATAAATAAATAAATAAGCTGGGCACAGTGGCGTTGTGCCTGTAATCCCAGCTACTCTGGAAGCTGAGGCAGGAGAATCGCTTGAACCCAGAAGGCGGAGGTTGCAGTGAACCGACATGGCGCCACCGCACTCCAGCCTGGGACAGAACGAGACTTTGTCTCAAAAAAAAAAAAAAAAGGAAAAAACTTAAGTGTAAATTTTTGTCACCATCCACTAATATTTCAATAGGGCTATTTCTGTCATCACATTTATTAGACAGTCGTTGGTAATAAGTTTCTGTAACTGGCATTTCACCTCTTTCTGGTGTCATATTAGTTCCTCATGCAGAACACTCCCCGCTGTCACAAGAGAAACAAATGATAATCACTTCCCAGGAAAGATACAAGCTCGATAATTTAACATACGCCCAATGTCTCCAGGTGGAGATCATCACCGCCATTGCCAATACCAAACTGGGATTTCTCTCATTGTTTTTTACCTGAGACTGACTTCAAGTTCCTAAAATGGGTTGAAAATATAAGTTAGAATACCAAGGAAGGGACATTACATGAATAATGTTTTGCTCAATGAATTGGACACAATAATTGACTACATAAGCGGGAGAGTTGTTTTTCCGTGGGAAAGACTGATTCACCTTTGTACTCTTGCTTTAGCCTCTCCTCTATCTTCCTTGGCATGGTCCTATCTGGATTAGTTCTGTTTTGTTCCTGGCAGACTGAAAAACCAACTCTAATGCCTCAGAGTGAGGTGGGAGAATAGGGAATTAGGGGAGCCAAGGATGAAGGCATAAGCAAAAGAACAGCAGGTGCAGCTAGTTCTAGGCAAGATGAGGCAGCACGCAGGCCACATCCTCACTGCTGTGATAACAAGACAGAAGTCTCCACTTCAGCCTGATTGGTTGTGCACCAATCCTTCATAGGCTTGGAAGCCTTTAAAGAGCTCTTTGGGGTATTATAAAATTCTAGCTTATTATTAATGGCAAAAACCGCAATTACTTTTGCAGCAACCTAATAAAACCCTAAAAAACATTGTAATCGGGGTTCTTGAGCCCCTTGGTCGCCTGTTTCCACACCTGCATTCCACTTCTGTGGAGTGTACTTTCCCCTCAATAAATCGCTTTCATTGGTTCTTTCTTTCGTTGCTTTTTTGTGCGTTTTGTTCACTTCTTTGTTCAATGCACCAACAACCTGGACAATTCACAGTCAAGACTTTCCATCCGGTAACAAGAGTGCATTCATGTGAATTATAACACAGTAATGATTATCAGTCTCTGCTTCCAGTGCAGGCATTTTGTGTCTAAACGATTGTATAAAGTGATACACGAATTTGGATTTATAGCCTTTGGGAGCATTCACAATATTTTTAGCGCTTGGGAGCTTAAATTTCCAAAAATGTGAATTAATATTTTTGTAAACACTTGGGTGGTCAGTTACAAACAGGGATTCCCCAGGAATCTCAATATAGCCTCTAAGGAGGGGCGAGACCATCCTCTGCTCTAAAAGGATGCGCGCTTTAATGAGCCCCCTGAGGTGGAGCTGGGACTTCTCTGCAGAAGCGCCTTTGGGAAGCGGCAGCTTTACTACCTTGGAACCTGGGGAACTACATTACCCAGAAAGCTCTACATTGAATGACAGCGCTACAGAACCAGTAAGGGCTCAGAATAAAGGCGTTTCTGGGTGCGCACGTAACGTGGTGGCGGGATCTCAGCGTTCACTGGTAGCGGCCATTTTGGTTAATGTTGGGGGTGTGTGTGCGGTTCGTGAGGTGAGAGGCGCTGGAGCTGTGGGTCCGAACCGCGGTGTTTGAACCCAGAAGTTGGAGAAGAGTCCTTCTCGCCGCACAGAGGCGGATCGTAGGCCCCGTAACGGCGCCCGCCTCTCCCGGCCGTGCTTTCCCCACGTACTCGGATGGCGGCGGCCGCACTGAGGCTGCCGGCTCAGGTAATTGTGCCTTCCCTGCCCTCAGGTCACCTCATCCTAACCCGAGTCCTAAAGCAGCGAGGGAGCGGCGACTGTTCACAGGTCTGCAGCCCGGACCTGGCGTCGGGATGCTGAGGCGTTCGCGGGAGAGGTCCCTGTTTCTGACACCTATGGGAAGCGGTGGGGAGAGCGACAGGCACAGGGACCGGCGCGGGCAATGGCCTGGAGTTGAAGGGACCCGGGTGGATGGAACCGGGGGTCCACAGGCGCCCGTAGGGAACAATATGTGAGGCGAAGCTTCTCTTGGAAGAGCGGGCTGGGGGCTGTGTATTCACTGTGAAGACGCTAGAAGCCATGGAGAGTTTCGAAGAAAGGAGGGATGCGATCCAAGTCCAGGCTTTTAGTGTTTCCCAAAGGCCAAAGGAAGAACATAGTAGAGGGAATGAGGACCTTGGGGTTCTGGGAGGTTGACTCCTTTGTTGATAGATCACATAGGTGGTAGAGATGATATTTTGCACTGAGACACGCAGGTCAGACAACCACTCCGAGGTCACCTGGCTCCAGCGATAAGAACAGGTTCAAGGAGACCTGAGCTTATCAGATCCCCTTTGTAATGTCTGCCTTCCCCTCAGACACTACTGGCTGCAGAAGCACTTAAAGAACCCACTGAGGGGGCCAGGTGAGGTGACTCACACCTGTAATCCCAGCACTTTGGGAGGCCCAGGCGGGAGGATCACCTGAGGTCGGGAGTTCGAGACCAACCTGACCAACATGGAGAAACCCCGTCTCTAACAAAAATACAAAAGTAGCCGGGCGTGGTGGCGCATGTCTGTAATCCCAGCTACTGGGAGGCAGAGGCAGGAGAATCGCTTGAACTCGGGAGGCAGAGGTTGCGGTGAGCCATTGCACTCCAGCCTGGGCAACAAGACGAAACTCTGGCAAAAAAAACAAAAAACAAAAAACCTACAGAGGGAACTGGAGGGTGTTCCATTCCCTCACTGGCCTTATTCTCCATTCACGTGTTCTCTAGCTTGTGATATCCTGGAATACGGCCATGGATATCTAAAGCCACACCTGGTTCTGTGGGGGTGTGGAGCCATGCAAGAAGGCTTTCACAGAATGACTTGGGAACTGCATTGCTATTGGGAACCATGAGAATTCTGTGGTAATATTGGATCCTGTTTGAATTTGCCAAGCATACTGTGAATTCTGTCAGCCACATTGTGGCATAAGGCCAAAAATGAAAGCCCAATGTGATGGGCCACCTTGATGTGTGGTGATACTGTATGACCTCAAATGGCCTGAGCGCAAACCCCCTTCCCACTCTGTTCTATTGGATAATATATCCTGGCCTAACACCCCTTTTCATTAAGGGATCAGGCAGTTTCTGATTATTATACTTTGTTCTCGGTTTCAATTCCATTTCTAGTCATTTAAGCAAGTCAGTGGAACCCTCTTGAGAAATCAGGGGCTGTCACACCCTCTTCATCCTACAAAGTGTGCATAACACAGTCCCTGGTTTCCCTCTGTTGTCCACAGTGCACCCCCATGTGGCCCTGTCTGCCAGGCTGTGAGTTATTTGATTTTGAAATTGCTGTTAATGGCATCTGTACTCTCAGGTATCAGTTGTTTCCCCAACACTATAACCCTAAGGGGTGAATCCCACTCAGAGCAGTAGAAGGAAAAGAAGGGGATTAAAATACTTTAAATTGTTGACCAGGCTTCAAGGCTCATGCTGTAATCCCAGCACTTTGGGAGGCTGAGGTGGGAGAATTGCTTGATGCCAGGAGTTTGAGATCAGCCTGGGCAAGTTAGCAAGACCCCATCTCTTAAAAGAAAGTCGTTGATGTTGCACATGTTAAGATCCCATCTCCACAGAAGGCTGAGGCCTGGGAAAAAAGGGTTTGAAGTTTCCGTGAGCCATGATCACACTACTCCCCTCCAGCTTGGGCGACCAAAGGAGAACCTAACTAAAAGAAACCAAAACTATAATTTGTGTTAAGGCTCAAAAGAGGCTGATGGTTGGGGGATGTCACGTTGGGGTGGCCATGGCATGTGCCTGTGTCTAGAGAATAATGTGTAAGGCTGGGTGTGGTGGCTCATGCCTATAATACCAGCACTTTGGGAGGCTGAGGCGGGTAGATCACCTGAGATCAGGAGGGTAGATCACCTGAGATCAGCTTAGCCAACATGGTGAAACCCTATTTCTACTAAAAATACAAAAATTAGCCAGGTGTGGTGGCAGGTGCCTGTAATCCCAGTTACTTGGGAGGCTGAGGCAGGAGAATCGCTTGAACCCGGGAGGTGGAGGTTGCAGTGAGCTGAGATCCCACCACTGCACTCCAGCTTGGGCAACAAGAGTGAGACTCTGTCTCAGAAAAAAAAGAAGGATGTGTATTTAGAGAGGGAGTGTGTCTAATGGACTCAGGCAACTGCATTGGGCTTTATGTGAGCTCGGATATACCAGAGGCATTGGCTGTCAGGAGGGGGTGGACCCTTTTATGTTAAGAGCACAGCATAGCCAGGTGCAGTGGCTCATGCCTGTAATCCCAACACTTTGGGAGGCTGAGGCGGTGGATCATGAGGTCAGGAATTCAAGACCAGCCTGGCCAAGATGGTGAAACCCTGTCTCTACTAAAAATACAAAAATGAGCCAGAAGTGGTGGTGGGTGCCTGTAATCCCAGCTACTCGGGAGACTGAGGCAGAGAATTGCTTGAACCCAGGAGGCAGAGGTTGCAGTGAGCCGAGGTCATGCTACTGCACTCCAGCCTGGGTGACAGAGCAAGACTCTGTCTCAAAAAAAAAAAAATGTAGTCTCACTAGATCTCTATTTTTCCCCCCTACTTCTTTTTATTTTTTTTTTGAGAACGGAGTCCCGCTCTGCTGCCCACGGCTGGAGTCAGTGCCGGATCTCACAAGCTCACCTGCAAGCTCCGCTTCCCGGTACGCCATTCTCCTCTGCCCTCAGCCCCCCGTAGTATCTGGGACACAAGGCGCCCGCCAACTCACGCCCGGCTATTTCTTTTGTATTTTTTTAGTAGACCGACGGGGTTCTTCATCCGTTGTTTAACCAGATGGTTTCTGCGATCTCGCCCACCTTCGTCGATTCCCTCCCTTTCTTCGGCCTCCCATAAGTGCTGATTCACAGGCTTTAGCCGCCTGGCCGGCCCTCCCGCCTACCTTCTACTTGCTGATTGGCTTATACCCGACGTGACCCGTGGGCCTCACAAAAAGACACAAGCACCAGTGACTAGTCTCTCTCTCGTGCTTGAGGATTGCTTTGGGACGAGGACAAGGGGCTGCGGATAGGCAGGGTCGATTGTGGACCTTCAGCATAGAACTGTTCTGGCTTTCATCTTACCATTCATATGCCAGTGCACTGGTGCATTTGAAACTGGCTGTGAAACTTTTCCAGGAAAATGGCGTCTCCTTAGTGACGTTCCAGAGATGCCTCTTAGCCATGATTGATTGCGCGAGAATCGGTACTTATTATCTTCCCCTGGGTAATGTTCCTCACACCCTCCCCTATTTCTCATTCTTTTTTTTTTTTTGCCAGACGAGTCCTCGCTCTCTCGCTCCAGGTTGCTGGAGTGCATGGCCGGATCTCAGCTCACTGCAGCTCTGCCTCCTGGGTTCAGCCCTCTCTCCTGCCTATCAGCTCCCGAGTACCTGGACTACGGCGCGCCACCTCGCCCGCTAGTTTTTTTGTTTTTTTTTTAAGTCCAGACGGGGTTTCACCGTGTTAGCCAGGATGGTCTCGATCTCCTGACCTCGTGATCCGCCCGTCTCGGCCTCCCAAAGTGCTGGGATTACAGCTCCCCTATTTCTTGAATAAGTCTCTGCCCTTCCCCTTTTTTCCCATTGGCAAGACTGTTTTCATCATATCGGGACCCTGGGCACAGCTTCCTTCTCTACTTCTCTGGGTAGGTTTTGTGGTTCATAAGTCTGAGGTTTGTGTACTACCTTCTCTCCTTGAGCAGTCCCAATACCTGCTTTGCTGCAGACTCTCAGGGAAGGAATCAGAGTCAGGTGTCTCATAACAATCTAATGCATTTCACCTTGCTTGTCCCCTCGTTGCTGTTTGACTTGGTCCAGATCTGAGACTCCTGTGTGTCCAGGTTCTACTTCCTTCCTTTGGCTGACATTGCTTGATGCCTGCCTGTGGCAGGAATTGCCATCACTCATATTGTCACTGCCTACATAGACCAAAGGCAAGACCCTCCTTAGAAATTCTGTTTTTAGTAATTAGTTTTCTTTCCTGTGTGTTGTCATGTTTAGAGCCCCTGTTGCTGAAAACTACCCAGCACATATTGGCAAGAGGAAGAGGACAGGGAATCCAGTGATGTGGCCTTTGTGACCAGCCAGCATTTCAGTTTAATCAGGCGCAAATGGCCTTCCTGGCTTATCAGTATTTGCTGCCACAGAGGCTAGTTGCCCCAGTTGTGCCCTATCTTTGCCTTAGTACTTATGTCATCCAGGTTCCATGTACTTCATCGTCTTGGTGGTGGGATGGAGAGTCCTCAGTGCTCCAGAAGAGGCAACTGAATCCAGACTCAGCCTGATGTGCTGAGAGGGAACCTGTCGCTGAGGAGTGGCACCTGGTGGGAGGGCATGAGTTTGAGATTTTAGGCAAATCATATCAGAAACCTATTCTATTTGACTAATATTTTTGTGGCCAGTAGGCACTCACTATTTCTGTCTTTTCTTCTGCATTCTTGAGAGCCTCGAATTTGTCGGTTGTACACCTTGTCACTTGTACTCTGATATCCATCCCCCAGTGAATCTTCAAGTCTCTGGACTCCACATCTCAACCATTTATTTTCTCATGTTTCCTTCCGAAGTGCTGTCCAATACTGGCATACACATTGTGTATTAGCAAGTGTATACAAATTGTTAAACTGTTCTGAGCAAGAGCTGTTGTCTTGTAATCATTTTCTTAGGTCTGGACATAGCCTTCTATATAGCATTAACATGTCATCAGATAATTTCCTGCAGACAAGTGGTTTGCAAAGGAAAGAGTTGTACACCAGGCACATTGGCGTACACCTGTAATCCTAGCACTTTAGGAGGCCGATGCGGACGGATTTCTTGAACCCAGGAGTTTGAGACCAGCCTGGGCAACAAGGCGAAACCCCACCTCAACAAAAAGTAGCTGGGCATATTGACATGTGCCTGTGGTCCCAGCTACTGTGGAGGCTGAGGTGGGAGGATCACCTGAGCCCAGGAGACAGATTATCCCACTGCACTCCATGCTGGATCACAGAGTGGGACCCTGTCTCTCAAGAAGCAAAAAAAAAAAAAAAAAAGAATTGTAGACCCTGGCTCAGTTCTCTGTGTTCATGTATGCTTATGCCCTTCATATCATGGTGCCTACATTCTGTGACCTTTATAGCCCGTTAATGATAGCCTCATCTTCCACGTGAAGCCAACATTCGTTCTGTTCCTGCAAATATTTCCATGGAGTAATTCCTCGGTTTGTCAGACACGCTTGTGGGTGGGCTGTGCCTTCCCACCAGAGTTAACTTGAACTCATCAGCATTTTCTTGCTTTCAGGTTATTGGTGTGGATCGGAAGATGAGGAGGCACCTTCTAAGCGGAACATTTTGCACTTGGCAGATCATCAGGGGACACATCACAAGCAGAAACTGCACAGGTGTGAGGCATGGGGGAATAAATTGTATGATAGTTCAAACCATCAGCACCAGAATCAGTACCTTGGAGAGAAACCCTATAGAAGCAGTGTTGAAGAAGCATTGTTTGTGAAGAGGTGTAAGTTCCATGCGTCAGAGGAGTCATCTGTCTTCATTCAGAGTGGGAAGGACTTTTTGCCCAGCTCAGGATTACTGCAGCAGGAGGCCACTCACACTGGGGAGAAGTCAAACAGCAAACCTGAGTGTGAGTCTCCCTTTCAGGGGGGAAATACTCATTACAGCTCTGGAGAATGCATGAAACATTCTGGCACCAAACACATACTTGTTCAACAGCAGAGACTTCTCCCTAGAGAAGAATGTTATTGCTGCGAATGTGGGAAATCCTTTATCAAATATGATAGCTTCAGTAATCATCAGAGAGTTCATACTGGGAAAAGACCTTATGAATGTGGAGAATGTGGGAAATCTTTTAGTCATAAGGGCAGCCTTGTTCAGCATCAACGAGTTCATACTGGAGAAAGACCTTATGAGTGTGGAGAATGTGGGAAATCTTTTAGTCAAAATGGTACCCTCATTAAACATCAACGAGTTCACACTGGAGAAAGACCTTATGAGTGTGAAGAATGTGGGAAATGTTTTACTCAAAAGGGCAATCTGATTCAACATCAACGAGGTCACACTAGTGAAAGACCTTATGAGTGTGAAGAATGTGGAAAATGTTTTAGTCAAAAGGGCACCCTCACTGAACATCATCGAGTTCACACTAGAGAAAGACCTTATGAGTGTGGAGAATGTGGGAAATCTTTTAGTCGAAAGGGACACCTTAGGAACCATCAGCGAGGTCACACTGGAGAAAGACCTTATGAGTGTGGAGAATGTGGGAAATCTTTTAGTCGAAAGGGCAACCTCATTCAGCATCAGCGAAGCCACACTGGAGAAAGGCCTTACGAGTGTAGAGACTGTAGGAAATTATTTAGGGGCAAGTCCCACCTCATTGAACACCAGAGAGTTCACACTGGAGAAAGGCCATATGAATGTAATGAATGTGGGAAATCATTTCTAGACAGCTCTGGGTTTCGTGTTCATCAGAGAGTTCACACTGGAGAAAAACCGTTTGAGTGCAGTGAATGTGGGAAATCATTTCCTCAAAGCTGTTCCCTTCTTCGACATAGGAGAGTTCATACTGGAGAAAGGCCTTATGAGTGTGGGGAATGTGGAAAGTCATTTCATCAGAGCTCTTCCCTCCTTCGACATCAGAAAATTCACACTGCAGAAAGACCTTATGAGTGCAGAGAATGTGGGAAATTCTTCTCCAGTCTCCTTGAACACAGGAGAGTTCACACTGGAGAAAGGCCTTATGAATGCAGTGAATGTGGAAAAACATTTACTCGAAGATCTGCGCATTTTAAACATCAGAGACTTCATACTCGAGGAAAGCCTTATGCGTGCAGTGAATGTGGGAAATCCTTTGCTGAAACGTTCAGTCTTACTGAACACAGGAGAGTTCACACTGGAGAAAGGCCTTATGAGTGCAGTGAATGTGGAAAATCATTTCATCGAAGCTCTTCTCTCCTTCGACATCACAGAGTTCACACAGAAAAAAGTCCTTACAAGTGAAAGAAATTTGGGACATTCTTTAGCTAAATCTCTGTGCATCCTCTTGATCAGAGGGTTCTTACTGGATCAGGACTTTATGAGTGTGACAAACGTGAGATATTCTTTATGCAGAAGTCTTGCTTTATTACATACAGAAGAGCTTCCACTGCAGAAGTGCCTCTTGAGTGCGACGAATGTGAGAAAGCCTTCCGCCTTCTCTCATTGGATAACAGATTGTTCTCTTAAGGAAAACACTGTACACATACAGGAAATACTATTTCTTGTAAAACATAACACTGGAGGAGATGCCTTATGGGGGAGCCATCTGCCTAAATTGAATGACATACATCCAGCATCTGCATAAACTCGATTGTGTTAGAGCTGCATGGCATTTTTCACCCTGCCGTGTTCCCTTGCCAGACTTATGTGACTGCCAGTTACCTGGCAACCATTCTATGTCGGCCACGAGGCAGGTGTTCACCGTGCATCTTTCACTCACCCCATGATGTTCCAGAAGTAAACCTTGGTTGTCTTCCATTGGCCAGAGGAATTGGTGAGTAGTCTTGGCTGTCATTCCTTTCTCATTTATTCTGATGAGTGAGACCATGGATCTGTCTCAGTACTGGACCAGAGGAGTCTTCTGTCAGCTTGGAAAGATGGACTACCTTTTTCAGGGACCTTATGAGTCTCATGTGATTCTTTAAGTGGAATTTTTCAGCCTCTTAAGTTCCAACCAAAGAACATTCTGCCTCCCATTGCTCTGATTTGTGCAGTGACTAAGGCCTTATTGTTTAAGCTTCCTTCAATCTTGAGAGTTGTATTTACTCTTTGGGGTGGTTCCGAAACAACTGGGTTCTGATGTCCTAAAGGGGCAAACAACTTTTGTTGGGATCACTGGACTTTGAGTGCCTCAGAGGGGACAGTATGATGACAGAATATACTGTCTCTTCACTTGTGGCATAGTTTTCTTGGCTGCCCAAGGCCTCCAAAGACTCCAGAACTTTGTGGTCCTTATTTGTTGACTAGATACTCCAATAATTTCTGGGTTTATAGATCAACCTGAGAAGGGAACAGTGTTTGTGACATCCTCTGGTGCTTCTGAGATCAACTGAGATTTTTCTCTCTTTTACAAGGGATATTGCATTCTGCTCAGTCCTGCTGAGGGAAATCAGTTCCCTAGATCCTGCAATGCAGCCATGTGCCTTCATATCCAGAGTTTCATAGGGTGGTGTCCCAGGTTATGAGATTGTAACAGGAAATCATAATTTATAGAATTTCTGCATTTATAGGCAGTGGAGGACACGGCAAGAACAGAGTTGGAATGCACGTCATTCAAATGGACATCCACATTGATTCAGTTACTATGTGTGTGGTGAACCTTCAGGTACAGAAATTCTCAGAGCCTCCGTAATTATGAATCTTGTGTAGCTGAGGCCATTGTCAAAGGAAATAATATAAAGGATTTGTGGATTCCTGTACCTTTTCTTGGCTGTTCACCTCAGGGCCATGCCTGCACTGGCAGGAGGAAGAGGATAGGGAGAAGGGAGATCTCTTAGTCCAGTGATGTGGTCTGTGTGACCAACCAGTGTTCCAGTCTAATCAGGTGAAAATGGCCTTCCTGGCTCAATCAGTATTTGCTACCGCAGAGACTCATTGCCACACTTGGGACATGAGGAGATTTTGTATAGTTGTCAAGCATTTTTGTCAAAAATAATAGAAAATCCATGTTTTTCTTTTTTATTTTCTAAGACAAGGTGTTGCTCTGTGACCCAGGCTGGAGTACAGTGGCGAGATCATAGTTCGCTGCAGCCTCAAACTCTTCAAGCAATCCTTTTCCCTCAGCCTCCCGAAGTGTTGGGATTACAGGCCTGAGCCATCACGTCCAGCCCACATTTTTCTTTTGAACCAATTCTTTAAAGCCATAATAAGGAATAAATGACATTCAGTAAACTATACATATTTAAACTGTACCATGTGATAAGTTTAGACTTTCGTAGAAACCCATGAAAGTGGCCGGGCGCAGTGGCTCAACACCTGTAATCCCCATACTTTGGGAGGCCGAGGCGGGTGTATCACAAGGTCAGAAGATTGAGACCATCCTGGCTAACACAGTGAAACCCCGTCTCTACTAAAAATACAAAAAAAATGGCTGGGCATGGTGGCTCACGCCTGTAATCCCAGCACTTTGGGAGGCCAAGGCGGGTGGATCACGAGGTCAGGAGATCGAGACCATCCTGGCTAACAAGGTGAAACCTCGTCTCTACTAAAAAATACAAAAAATAGCCGGGCGTGGTGGTGGGTGCCTGTAGTCCCAGCTACTCGGGAGTCTGAGGCAGGAGAATGGCGTGAACCCGGGAGGCGGAGCTTGCAGTGAGCTGAGATCATGCAACTGTACTCCAGCCTGGGTGACAGAGTGAGACTCCATCTCAAAAAAACAAAAAACAAAAAAGAAAGAAACCCTTGGAAGTATAATTTATCCATCGCCTTCATATTTACCTGGAGCCTATTGTTTTTTATTTACTTTTTGGAGTCGGGGTCTCACTCTGTTACCTGACTGGAGTGCAGCGACATCATCATAGCTCAGTGTAATCTGAAATTCCTGGGCTCAGGCAGTCCTCCCACCTCAGTCTTCTGAGTAGCTGGAATCATAGGCTTGAGCCACCATGCCTACTTTGTTTTGTTTTGTTTTGTTTTGTTTTTGAGACAGACTCTCACTCTGTCGCCCAGCTTGGAGTGAAGTGGCGTGATCTCGGCTCACTGCAACCTCCACCTCCTGGCTTCAAGCGATTCTCCTCCCTCAGCCTCCAGAGTAGCTGGGACTTCAGGTATGCACAACCATGCCCGGCTAGTGTTTGTATTTTTAGTAGATACGGAGTTTCAACATGTTGTCCAGGCTGGTCTCGAACTCCTGACCTCAAGTGATCCACCTGTCTTGGCCTCCCAAAGTGCGGATTACAGGCGTGAGCCACTGCACCCGGCATTACTGTTATTATTTTTTAAAGCGATGAAGCCTCCCTATGTTGTCCTACCTAGAGCCTTGTCACCCAGGCTGGAATGCAGTGTCGCCATCTCGGCTTACTGCAACCTCCGTCTCCTGGGTTCAATAAATTCTCCCACCTCAGCCTCCCTATTAGCTAGGATTACAAGCATGTACCATCACACCTGGCTAATTTTTTTTGTATTTTTATTAGAGACAGTATTACCCTGTTGGTCAGGCTGGTCTCGAACTCCTGACCTCAAGTGATCCGCCTGTCTTGCCCTCCCAAAATTCTGGGATTACAGGTGTGAGCCACTGTGCATGGCTTGAGCCTTTTAATAGGATGTTCCTCTCTGCTCTTCAGACAACCATTGATTTAGTATGCTTTAAAACAGATTAGTTTGTGTTTTCTGGAATTTTATATGAATGATATCTTAAACTATTTCCTCTTTTCATTTTTGGGTTCTCTACTGTGTCATTTATTTTGCTATTAGTGATGATATATGACTAATTCATTCCTTTTATATTCCTGAGAAGTATGACATGGTGTGAAACATCAGTGTGTGCATATTAATCCATCTGTTTATATTTGATTTGCTTCTCACTTTTGTCTGTTATAAATAATACTGATACAGACATTTAAATATAATTCTTCATATCCATATATTTTACTCCTCTTATGTTAATATCTCCATGTGCAGTGCCTGAGTCACATGGTAGGTAAAACTTTTTAAGAAATACCAGGCTGGGCGTGGTGGCTTAGCTGGGCGCGGTGGTTTATGCCTATAATCCCAGCACTTTGGGAGGCGGAGGCGGACAGATCACCTGAGGTTGAGAGTTCGAGACCAGCCTGACCAACATGGAGAAACCCCATCTCTACTAAAAATACAAATTAGTTGGGTGCGGTGGCGCATGCCTGTAATCCCAGCTATTTGGGAGGCTGAGACAGTTGAAACTGGGAGGCAGAAGTGCAGGGGCTGTATTAGTCACACCGTGCACCAGCCTTGGCGCAACAAAGTGAAACTCCTCCAAAAAAAAAAAAAAAGGCCGGGCGTGGTGGTTCACGCCTTTAATCCCAGCACTTTGGAGCCGAGGCAGGCAGATCATGAGGTCAGGAGATCAAGACCATCTTGGCTAACAGGTGAAAACCCGTCTCCTACTCAAATATACAAAAAGTTAGCCGGCGAGTGGCAGGCGCCTGTGGTCCCAGCTACTCCAAAGGCTGAGCAGGAGAAGCATGAACCCGGGAGGCAAAGCTTGCAGTGATCCCACAGCTCGTGCCACTCACTCCAATCCTAGGCTACAGAAGCCAGGCTCCGTCTCAAAAAAAGGAAAGACGCACCAAACGGGCCCGGGCATGGTGCGGTCAATGCCGTGTAATCCCAGCACTTTGGGAGGCCGAGGCGGTGTGATTACCTGAGTCAGGAGTTCGAGACCAGCCTGCCAACATGTGAAACCCCATCTCACTACTAAAAATAAAAATTAGCCGAGTATGGTGCACGCATCTGGTAGTCCCCGCAAGTACTCAGGAAGCTGAGCAAGAGAATTTCTTAAACCCAGGAAGACGGAGGTTGCAGTGACGAGATCGCATCACGCACTCCCAGCCTGGGCAACAAGAGCCGAAACCTGAAAAAATAAAAAAATACCAAACTGACCTTAAATTACTAGAAATTGATTACCTCCTTTGTATTCCTACCACCAGTGCCTGAGAATTCTACCAGAGAGACGTAATCGTGTTAGCCTTTTAAATTATTTTTTTGAGGCCAGGCACGTGGCTTACCCTGTAACCCAGCACTTTGGAGCCAAGGGTGAACTCATGAGGTCAATGACGATCGAAGAACCATCCCATCGGTGAACACCCGTCTCACTAAAAATAAAAAAAAAAAAAAAAAAAAGGCTCGGCACCATCGGGCTGCGCCTGTGTAGTCCCAGCTACCTGAAGGCTGAGGCAGGAGAAGGCCGTGAACCCAGGAGGCGGAGCTTGCAGTGAGCCAGTATTGCACCACTGCACTCGATCCCGGGCGACAGAGCGAGACTCCGTCTCAAAAAATAAAAAAATTCTTTTTTTTAATACATGGGTATTTCTTTTTAGGTAAAGTGTCTCTTCATGTCTGTTGCTTCACAAAAATGAACTTTGTGAAAAAAATTCACAAAAATGAATTTTGTTTATTTTCCATTACATTAAGAAATAAGAAAATAGGCCAGGTGCGGTGGCTCACGCTTGTAATCCCAGCACTTTGGGAGGGCAAGGCGGGAGGATCACAAGGTCAGGATGTTCGAACTAGCCAACATGGAGACAACCCATCCTTACCTAAAAATACAAAATTATTCTGGGTGGGGTGCACATGCCTGTAACCCAGCTACTGGGGAGACTGAGGCGGGAGACTGGCTTGAACCTGGGAGGCGATTGCGGTGAGCAAGATTGTACCATTGCACTCCGAGCCTGGGCAACAGCGAAACTCAATGAGACAAAAAAATGTTGAATGTGCTGGGTGCTCCTGTAGTCCTATTACTCCAGGAGGCTGCAGCTGGAAAGATCACTATAGATAGAACCTGAGAATCAAGGCTGCCTGAGCCTATGATCACACCTGGCGCTCACAGCCTGGGTACAGAACAAGACCTTGCTGAAAAAAAATAAAAAATTATGCTGGGCGGCGGTGGCTCACGCCTGTACATCCCAGCACTTTGGGAGGCCAAGGCGGCAGCTTCAACCTGAGGTCAGGGAATTCAAGACTAGCCGGCCAAATGGGACCCCCTCTCTACTAAAAATAACAAAAAATTAGCAGGACGTGGCTTGTGGGCACCTGTAATCCAGCTACTGGTAGAGCTGAAGGCAGAGAATCACTGAACCCAGGAGGTAAAGGTGCAGTGAGCCCAGATCATCCATTGCAACTCGCCCAAAAAAAAAAAAAAATATATACTATATATAATATGTGTGGTGTGTATATAATATATAGAGAGAGAGAGAGAGAGAGAGAGACGTACCTTTGGCATAAAGGATTAAGTAAGTCTGTGCACGAAATAGAAAAATACTCCGTCTGCAATGAATTAGAAAGTGTTCTATGGTCTTCTTTTTTTTTGAGACAGATCTCCATCTATCTGCCAGTCCGGAGTGTCCGTATCTCAGCTCCTGCAGCCTCGCTCCAGGGTTCAAGTGATTCTCTGCTCATCTCCCAAGTAGCTGGGATTACAGGCATGCACCACCATGCCTGGCTAATTTTTGTATTTTTAGTAGAGACGGGGTTTTACCATGTTGTTCAAGCTGGTCTTGAACTCCTGACCTTGTGATCCACCCACCTCAACCTCCCAAAGTGCTGGGATTTCAGGCATGAGCCATGGTGCCTGACTTTTTTTTTTTTTGACCGTCTCACTGTGTTGCCCAGGCTGGGTACAGTGTGACACAATCACAATTCACTTCTGCCTTGACCTGCTGGACTCAAGCTGTCCTCCCACCTCTTGCCTCCCAACTTGCTAGGATAGGCATGTGCCACCACGCTCAGCTAATTTTAAAATTGTTTCTGTAGAGATTAGGTCTCACCATGTTGCCCAGGCTGCTCTCAAAACTCCTGGGCTCAAGGGATTTTCCCACCTTGGCCTCCCAAAATGCTAAGATTACAGGTTGAGCCACCGTCTGGCATGCTTTTGGTTTTTATCTTGAAATTTAACAAAGTGCTGTCCCATGTATTTAAGTATCAAACTATAACTGAATTTTCTTTCTTTTCAAGGATCTCAAGGGCATTTCCCTTTGCCCACCTCACCTTTTCATATTTGGCAAACTATATGCATTTGCCTCCAGCCCAAGATTACAGACATGAACTGATTATGATCTGCATGTTCTGTCATTGGATTCAAGCATATTCTTACAGAAGAGCCACCGTGGAAGTCGTGGGTAAATATGTGTTGGATTGGTAACTCCCTCTTGGAGAATTTCTTGTGAATTACACAGCAATAGAGGAACTCATTTAACTGGAGATACAATCTGAATTTGTAAAGTGTGGCCAATTTTCTAACATTTTTATTTTACATACCTTCCCATGTCTTCTGGGTTGATGAAACTAACAAAGAGATTAATAAAAACTCATCATGTCATGTACAGGGACTCATGCCTTTAATTCCAGCATTTTGGGAGACTAAGACAAGAACATCCTTGAGGCCAGGAGTTCGAGACTGTATAACAGATACGTCTGACAGTAATAAGCACACCTTAAGAATGACCCTGTGGTCTAAGAAGAGTGTTGGTTCAACGTTCCAAACGAAGGAATCTGGGAGTGGCCAACCCAGAGGTTTCTGAACCCCTGGCCTGTTCCTTGCAATGAGGCGCTTTGTTTTGAGCTGGGTGGAGGATGATAAGTGAAAATACTGTATGAACTGCATGCTTCTTACAAATGATAGTGGTTTTCTTGTCCAGCCTGCTGCTCCTGGACTGCCCTGTATCTAAGTCCTCAATAAACCCTGTGTCTCGTTTTCTTTTTTCTTTTTTTTTTTTTTGAGATGGAGTTTCGCTCTTGCTGCCCAGGCTGGAGTGCAATGGCATGATCTTGGCTCACCACAGCCTCCACCTCCCGGTGCAAGCGATTCTCCGGCCTCAGCCTCCCAAGAAGCTGGGATTACAGGCATGTGCCTCTACACCCGGCTAATTTGTATTTTTAGTAGAGGTGGGGTTTCTCCATTTTGGTCAGAGTGGTCTCGAACTCCCAACCTCAGGTGATCCACGTGCCTCAGCCTCCCAAAGTGCTGGGATTACAGGCATGAGCCATCATGCCTGGCCCTATGTTTCAGTTCTAGCTCTGGCTCTTATTCACTTCTTGTACATGGTGCCATCCTTATTGGAGTCAATAGGGTAGGGATCAAGCATGATAGAGACCAGCTGGGCAACACAGCAGCTGTCTCTATCAAAACAGCTGGGCATGGTGGCACATGCTTATAGTCCTAGCTGTGTGGGAGACTGTGGCAGGAGGATCATTTGAGCCCAGGGATTTGAGGTTACAGCGGGCTATGATTGCTCCACTGCACTCTAGCCTAGGCAGCAGAGCAAGACCCTGTCTCTCACCTGGTGAAATTAGCAGAAGCTTTTCATATTACTTTGCTGAAGGCTCTTAAATTGGTTTTGCTTAACCTATAAACAACTCCCTTCAGAAAGCAAGTATTCCCTTGTGAGAAAATTACCTATCATCCCATGAGGTTGGATGGAGGATTGTATGAACCAACTTAATTCATGACCAGGCATGGTGACTCACGCCTGTGATCCCAGGACTTTGGTAGGCCGAAGTGGGTGGATTGCCTGAGGTCAGGAGTTCCATACCAGCCTTGCCAACATGGTGAAACCTCATCTCTTCTAAAAATCCAAAAAGTAGCTGGGCGTGGTGGCAGGCACCTGTAATCCCAGCTACTCTGGAGGCTGAGGCAGGAGAATCTCTTTGTTTTGTTTTGTTTTGAGACATAGTCTGTCACCCAGGCTGGAATGCAGTGCAACCTTCACTCACTGCAACCTCTGACTCCCGGGTTCAAGTGATTCTCTTGCCTCAACCTCCCGAGTAGCTGGGATTACAGGCATGCGCCACCATGCCCGGCTAATTTTTGTATTTTTAGTAGAGACAGGGTTTCACCATGTTGGCCAGGCTGGTCTTGAACCTCTGACCTCAGGTGAGCCACTTGCCTCACCTCCAAAAAGTGTCGGAATTACAGGCATGAGCCACCAGCACGCTGGCAGGCATGAATCCACTTGAACCCGAGAGGGTGAGGTTGGCAGTAGAGCTGAGATCGCGCACTGCACTTCACGTGGGCGACAGAGACTGGTACTCAAAAAAAGAAAAAAATGCGAAGAGGAGAACCTCATTTGTGAATCCAAAACCATCAGACTGACCATTTCCAATTATGTGCTGAGCATAATTCATCTCTTGGACATCGGGTGCTAACATTTCTGCTGATGGTCCTCAAGTTTTTTCAGCCCATTACTGAGGCGTGCTTCCATAGACCCGCACTTCTGTCAAAACTGTTTTGATATTTACCTAAGTCAGGTTGTTTCTTGTTTTTTCTTTTTTGTGGTTGAACGGATCTCGCTCTGCCGACCCCAGAGCGCAGTGCAGTGGCCGGTATCTCCAGTCACTGCAAGCCTGCCTCTGGGGTTCACGCCATTCTCTCTGCCTCAGCCTGCTTTTATTCGTTTTTTCTGTTTTGTATTTGTTTGTTGGCGGTAGGGAAGATCCCCGTCTCGCTCTGTCTGCCCAGGCTTTAGTGCCAGTGGGGCAATCTAGGTCCTCACTACAACTCTGCCTCCCTGGGTTCAAGAGCATGTTTTCTTTGTCTCCAGCCTCCCAACGTAGCTGGGACGACAGGCACGTGCCACTAATGCCCGGCATATTTTTTTTTTTTTTTTTTTTTTTTTGAGACGTCCAGGTGCGAGTGCAGTGGCGCCATCTCTGCTCACTGCAAGCTCCTTCTCCTGGGTATACGTGTTTCTCCTGCCTCAGCCTCCCGAGTATCTGGGACTACAGGCACCCGTCACCATGCCCGGCTAATTTTTTTGTATTTTTAGTAGAGACAGGTTTCACCGTGTTAGCCAGGATGGTCTCAATCTCCTGATCTCGTGATCCGCCCACTTCGGCCTCCCAAAGTGCTGGGATTACAGGCGTGAGCCACTGCGCCCGGCCTAATTTTTGTATTTTTAGTAGAGACTGGGTGTCACCATATTGGCCAGGCTGGTCTTGAACTCCTGACCTGGTGCTCCGCCTACCTCGGCCTCCCAAAGTGCTGGGATTACAGGCGTGAGCCACTGTGCCCGGTCTACCTGGTCAGTATTAATAGGCTTTTGTATCTTGCAATTTACAACTCTTCCTTTCATGTAATACTAATTTTTCATGCAGAACACTCCCTACTCTCGAGATAAATCAATGATAATCACTTCCCATCAATGACATGAACACATGGCTTTAACAAACGCCCAGTATGACCAGATGGAGAGCACCACCTTTAAGGACTGTTTGAAATGCTTGTTCCTTGGTGCCATAAAGAAATAGCACTTGAACATTAATTTCCTCAGCAAGGCCATTTTTAGTTTCTGCAGAAACGGTACACTCGCTGGCAGTTTTGCTATAAGAGTACACCGAACAAAGAAGACAGGATCATTTATAACCTGATGCGTCCACCTTATTGCTATGTCCGGTTTCCATTGGCTGAATACAAATTCGCATTCTGTATTTGTCCTGATTGGCTAGCAACGTAGAACTTTTTTGAAAGAGGCAAAGGCAGAGGAAAACGAAGGAGGAATTAACTTGTGGAATGCTAAGAAAGGCAAAAACACTTTCAAATAAGGAAGAGGAACAGGATATGACTTAATGCTTCCTTGGACCAGTGTAAGCATGTCAGGGCAAATGCTTAGGCTAAATTGTGGGAGCTAAGAACATAAAGTACATAGATTTTTTTTTAATCACAGCTAGCAGATAGCTAAGAATGTTAAAACAGGTCTTTGAATAAATTTTGCTTCTAAAAGAAGTTACCATTTATTCCTAATTAGATGGGGAGGAAAGTCTTTGAAGAGGAACCTCTACTTTACTTTTTACAGACTGTAGCCATCACCACTACCAAGATACCATTTCTTTTATTGTTTTTTGTTTGTTTGAGAAAGAGAGTTTCGCTCTGTCGCCAGGCTGCGGTGCAATGGCATGATCTCGGCTCACAGCAACCTCTGCCTCCCAGGTTCAAGTGATTCTCTTGTCTCTGCCTCCTGAGTAGCTGGGACTACAGACCATGCACCACACCTGGCTAATTTTTCTTTTTTTTTTTGTATTTTTAGTAGCAGACCGGGGTTTACCAGTGTTAGCCAGGATGGCTTGATCTCGCCCGACTGTGGTGATCACACCTGCTCGCTCCCACAAGTGCGCGAATTTAAAGGCGTGCGCCACCACCCGCCCCTTGTCATTTATAAGCTGACAGTCATGTAGATGGGCTAACGCCCGTATCCCAACAACTTTGAGCCAGCGTGGCGATCACAAGGTCAGGAATCGAGAACTATCCTGGCTACACAGTAAACCCCGTCCTCTAACTGGAAAATATACAAACATTAGCGGGGCCGCTGGGTACGTGGAGCGTGTATAGTCCAAGCTACTCGGGGGCTGACGCGAGATCGGCGTGAACCCGAGAGGCGACGGTTGCAGTCGAGCCGCGAGATTGCGCCACTTCACTCCAGCCTGGGTGACAGAGCGAGACTCCCTCTCAAAAAAAAAAAAAAAAGACTGATGTCAAATTACTAAAAGTAGTTGAATATAAGAATGTCAGGTAAAGGATACTAAGTGGGAAAAGGTGTTGTTCAATTAATTGCTACAATGATTTGTGAACTCCCCAAATTTGAGGCAGGTCTCAGTCAATTTTAAAAGTTTATTTTGTTGGCCAGGCGCTGTGGCTCACGCCTGTAATCCCAACACTTTGGAGGGCAAGGCAGGCGGATCAAGAAGTCAGGAGATCGAGACCATCCTGGCCAACAAGGTGAAACCCCGTCTCTACTAAAAGTACAAGAATTAGCTGGGCATGGTGCCACGTGCCTGTACTCCCAGCTACTCGGGAGGCTAAGGCAGGAGAATCACTTGAACCCTGGAGGCAAAGGTTGCAGTGAGCCGAGATCACGCCACTGCACTCCTACCTGGCCAAAGAGCGAGACTGCGTCTCAAACAAAAAAGTTGGCTGGGTGCGGTGGCTCACGCCTGTGATACCAGTACTTTGGGAGGCCGAGGCGGAGGGGATCACAAGGTCAGGAGTTTCAGACCAGCCTGACCAACATGGTGAAACCCCATCTCTACTAAAAATACAAAAACTAGCCGGGCGTGGTGGCGCGCACCTGTAATCCCAGCTACTCAGGAGGCTGAGGCAGGAGAATTTCTTGAATCGAAAAGGCAGAGGTTGCAGTGAGCCGATATTGCACCACTGCACTCCGGCCTGAGTGACAGAGCAAGACTGTCTCAAGAGAAAAAAAAAGTTTATTTTGCCAAGGTTGAGGACGCATGCCCATGACACAGCCTCAGGAAGTCCTGACGACATGTGCCCAAGGTGGTTGGGGTACAGGTTGGTTTTATACCTTTTAGGGAGACATGAGACATCAGTGAATATATGTAGGAAGTACATTGGTTCTGACCAGAAAGGCGGGGACAACTCGAAGCAGGGCGGGGACTTCCAGGTCACAGGTAGACAGGTAGAGACACAAACAGTTGCATTCCTTTTAGTTTCTGATAAGCCTTTCCAAAGGAAGCAGTCAGGATATGCATCTATCTCAGTGAGGAGAGGGATGGCTTTGAATGGAATGGAAGGCAAGTTTTCCCTGAGCAGTTCCCAGCTTGACTTTTCCATTAGTAATTCTGAGGCCACAAGATTTTCCTTTCACAGATTCTATGAGCAGGAGAGTTGTTTCCTGTAGGAATCACAGAGATTCAGCTTTGCACTCCTGCTTTAGGGAAGCACATCTCTCCCTTCCGTGA